TGACCATAGTATTGTGCTGGAGGAGCTACAAATGCCTAGTGGAGTGTTTTCTCTAAAAATCTCTAGGTCCTTCAGTGCAACATTTGGTTAAAGTTGACCATAGAATTGTGCTGGAGGACCTAGAGATTCTTAGAGAGAACATATTAATAAAATCTGTGAATAATCATACATGCAAAAGTCAAAGCCACAAATGTGGAGAGATAACTGTACGTGTGGTGCATGTCTTACAGATGCAAACAAAGCTCAGTGTGATATCAAAAGAAGACAACAGGGCCTTTCACAACAGGGCCAGAATAATTGCCTGGCCCAAATATACTAGCCCTATAGTAATAATTGAGAAGCCAGCATAGTGTAGTGGTTTGAGTGTCAGACTGCAACTCTGAAGACCAGCAGGGTTCAACTCCCTGCTTGACCATGAAACCCCCTGGGTGACCTTGGCAAATCACATGTTCTCATCCTTAGGGGAAGGCAATGGCAAACCTCCTCTGAACATTTATTGCTAAGAAAATCCCATGATAGGGTCACCATAAGTCAGAAATGAATTGAAGGCAAACAACAACAACAACACCAACAATGTAATAATAAACACATTTTATGCTTCTATGCTTTGTTTCACTGGAAAATTCAGTCCCTGTAGCACTGGATCTGACATATGCCTATGTGCCTAATTTTATCCAGTTTGCCTCTGCAGAGACCTACTCTGTAGATATATACTGTATATTGAAGGCTGTCTTCCCTTTTAAATTGGCTTGAAATGTGAAGGTTTGGGGAGGGAGGGGAACTGAATTCCCCCCGCAAGACTTTTTTTCTACAAAAATTGAAAAAACAAAGAGATTATGGAGTTTTGGGGGGGATTAGAACCGACTGTTGAACACAAGGTGTTCATATAATTATTCCCCTTATATTATTTCTAAAAGCTATGCAGTAAGTACCTTTATGTAAGAAGAGGTGCAGCAGTACAATTCAAAGCGGTGGACCCATTGGCTGCCAGTCCATGGCAAGTTTCAGGAACAAAAGAAACAGTTGTGTCCAATGGACACAAATATGGTATGGTACCGAGCACATGGGGACCAATTTCACAACATCAAAAGACTTGAGAAGCATAGTCATACAGTATCAGATCATTATAATTCCTGGTCTTGCTTTCCTTTTTTATGGGAATAAATGCTTTATTATGCTACATACAGGGAATGCAGTAGCTCAAGTGGTTAAGATGCTGACTCTGTTGATTGC